TCTTACTTTTCTCAGACTCACACGTTCGCTCCACGATGTCCGGTATATCAGCACAGATCACCTCTGCCTGAGAACTGACCCATACAAGAACATCATCCAGTCATGTCACAATAAACACAGGGCTCTAAACATTGTTATATTTTACAGAGCAGGTGTGAAGATGTCAAATATTAGAATTTCCACTATAATAGTGATAATATCATGCCAGCGTGACATATTCAATTAAAACACACTTACAGGTCTGAGCTCCTTCCTGCTCCATCAGTTGTGCTGCTGTTCCCTGAAACAAAGACCCACATCACCTCTACTGTTAGAGCTCCTATACTGTTTTCTTAAGTTTAAGAGATGAATGAATCTGCAGCTGCAAATTGATGTGAAGTGTTGTGTACCTTTTAGTTTGGAGAACATCTGGGGTTTGGTTTTAGCTTTAAAGGGTGAGGACCCCTTTTCCTGCAGAAAATGTAAACAAACACTTTTATAACGGCTCACAACAAGTCAGACTGCAAACCGACAAAGGCCGTTTCCATCTGTCCTGAGAAATCTGATCCTAAGTGGACAACTCTAAGTTCATCTGTTCGCAGCTGGCATTAGAACATGTCCACACTTGTACATTGAGCTGACCACTTATGATCGCATCACTCAGGACGGATGTTAAATACCAGATCTGAACGAGGTCATGTTAAACACAGCTACACTTACACATCTCTCCACAGGCAGTGGCTTTCCATTGTGAAAGTTGGTGAGGATCAGAGCAATGGTTGTCAGAGTTTTTCCCTGAAAAACACAAAGAAGGGTTGTCAGATACAGAGTGTGTGTGTGTGTGTATGTGTGTGTGTGTGTGTGTGCACATGTGTGTGTGCACATGTGTGTGTGTGTGACTCACCAGTCCCATGTCATCTGCCAGTATTCCTCCACGAACCCTCTCTGGTATTTCTTTGGCAGAGAAAAATGTGAGGGTGTTGTAGTACAGCTCCCCTCTCTTCTCCCAGAAGGGCGGAAGCGTAGATTTGTTTTCTCGGGCACACATCCAGGACAGTGCCTGCCTCTGGTGCGGCAGGAGAGGAGTGACCACAGACTGCAGAGAAAGATGCAGAGACACTGTCAATGTGTTGAATGTACAGTAAGACTTTTGAATATTGTTTTCCATTTTGTGAAAAACAAGGTTTCAAATGATACAAATATAAAAATCATACCATTGAGAATAGTAAGAAATACAAAGTAAAACTAGTTTCTGACCACAGATACATCCAATCAATATCATGTACGCACCTCAACCGCTTCTTTCTCGCCGTCTTTACTCTCCATCAGACCTTCAAACAGATTATCAAACGCATTCTTCAGCTGAAAGAAAAAAGATATGCATAAAAAAATGATTTAATCCTTCCCACAAATAATACGACTGCAAATGTGTCTCTCCCCATCTTTTTAACATGGAATTTATACACAATGAAATGATGTGTTCTCTAAGTAGACATCATTCACTGACTTGGAAAAGGGTGAATGGGGCTGTTTTCATTGCCATTCCTCACCCTGAACATCTGTTCTTGCTCTATGTAAGTGCTCTGAGTGGGTACGATCTCCTGTCAGGAGTGTGTAACTGACTGATAATCGCAGTTTATCTTTGATATTCAGTCAGTAAACTTTCAAAATATGAAGAATTCTCCACAGAGTTTGGTGTATTTGTTACAGCAGCATCTCTTCTGGTTCAGGAAGCAGGGGATCATGGGTAATAACCTTCATTCTGTTGTGTTTTAGTTCAGTGAATTTTTTCTCGACATGAAAATCTCTTAAACCCAAAAGAATAAATCACCAAGTCTGGCTGCGGAGGGCGCTGTTGCTCTGTAAAAGTTACATAGTGCTTCATTTTAGGAACCAATAAACCTGATTCTATTTTCAAAAACTGACACATCATTTCAAACATTTCATTAAATGCTCTGTAAAGTTTATGCTAATACCTTTACGAATTGAAATTGAGTAGCTTACCTCTTCTGCAGTCAGTGGGATGGTCAAACCTTTCTTAGATGCGCTGGATGTTTGATTCGCACCTGCGATCAAACACATGCAGATAAACACACAGTTAAGAAGTGAAGGTAGTGATGTGGCTGATATTTGTGATAGACAGACAGGCACTAGACTCAGACACAGTTCCTGTGTATTTTCTCTGAAAAATACAAATATCTCTGACGTAGTACTTAAGTTAGCTACGTGCATCAGTGCGAGGGGGTGGGTGAGGTTGGATACCTGTTGATTTGCTTCCACCTGTGTTCAGCCGATATCCACGGCGTGCCATTGATTCAATCACGGCATTTTTGTTCTCTTCTCTCCCCCAGAACGACAGCATCACAGGCATATTGAACTTGTTCTTCGTGCCCGAGTACACCACCCTGACACAGCAGAGACACGAGGAATGATACACACACACACACACACAAGCTCACAGGTGCTCGGAATGAATGATTAAATGAAGAATAATCTCAGATCTAGAAAATCTAAAGTCAAAGCTGTCATTTTTTGGTCAGGTATTAGTGTGGAATTTTCAAACACAGATATGACACTGACAGGCCAGTAACCATCTACTACTCACCCCTCTACTTTAGCCAAGTTACTGTCCATGACGTACGCCATAGCTGCTGCCAGCTCCCGCTTAATGTGTCCCACCTGGCTGCCATAAATGTTGGCGACCATCACCGCGTTACGGTCGTATGGATTGTGCGGCTCGCGCACTAAACCAACCATTTCCCCTTGATTCACCTGTAAAGAGAAATAGTCGGTTTAAGTGTAGCACCTTTCACGGAGCAAAGTCACAAAGTGCTTCACAAAAAAGGTAAATTAAGGAGACGATAGTCAAGCAACGCATTTGGAAAACTAGACCATGGAAGACTAGAGCAAAGGGACTTTAAATAAATGAGTAGTTACCATAAGAGGCAGAAGAGATGAGGGAGGAATGGAAAAGAGGATAAAGGGATGTGCAGAGAGAGAGATCCGGTAGAAGGGTGAGGATGAATAAAGGGAAGGGAAACTGTGGGTTGAGAAATATGAGACAAACAGAGCGTGATGGGTTGATCAGAAGACCTAAATGACCGGCTGGTGATGTACAAGCAGGTACACACGTGCCTGACCATGCAGTGTTCAAACCTTAAAATGAATCCTGAACTTAATTGGGAGCCTGTGTAAAGAATACAGGACGAGTGTGAAGAAAATGTTTCATTCCGAGGACGTCAGCTGAGTAGCTCTGAAAGCGGTGTGAGTGAGCAGTGAAGTGATCAGTGCAGCTCTGTTCTGGCTCCATTTGTGAAATCAGTGTGGCGGATGAGCAGTAGAGAACCCTGACTGATCCTCACCACCCCTGTGTAAAATCTGAGGCCGACCACGGTGCCCTGCAGGTGTCCAAACAGCACGCTGCCATCTGCGTCCGGCTCCTCGGCCACTGCGGCTCTGATGGCCTGGGAGAGGGTCTCAGCGTTGGATTCATGGGGCTCTGAGAAGAGGTCGGCCTCAGTATAACCACCCCAACGAAAGTCCCACGTGTGGAAACTCATCTGGACACCTGGACAAGACACGGAGACAGAGAGAGGGATGGAAGTTTGGACAGGCAGCAGAGATCAGCTGACAAGATAAACAACCCCCCGGTCGGGGATGGAGCTGTGGGATCCAATGACAGGAAACATCCAGGAACCAAAACTTTACAACACAGGAAACGGGAAACGTTTAGGCAGGTGCACAATTTATAGCTTTGAGGGTTGTAGCTACAGAAAACTAGCATCACCCAACCGACAAGGTAACACAGTCAACTGGACAAGTGACCGAGCATTCACAACAAACACTCGTCAGTAGAAGTGAAGTTCAGCCTGACAGACGGTTTGAGATGTTAGCATTAGCTTGCGGTTTGATTTAACGTTAGTAAGTTGTTAGCTAAGTTAACCCTGCGCTGTATGGTCTGATGCTGCGTTCACACACACAGCTACAGAGAAAGTGCACACGTGGTTTCACTGTTGTGTAACTACTCGTTCTTACTGTTTCCTCCTCTGGATCGTAGTTTGTTTATCTCTGCTGTCTGAGCTTCTGTCTCTCTGTTGCTCCTGGATCCAGGAGTCAGCTGCAGTTAGTCTGAAACGTCCGGTAGTAGCCTTCAAAATAAAATCTAATTTGTGATTTTTTTTTTTTTTAAAGGATACAAACTACAAATTCTTTGTTTATGGGTCTGTATCTAGATTTAAAAAAATAACATACACTACAAAACATGTCTGGTCTGTATAAGCATTTATTATTGGTGTTATAGTTGTATCCCATAGCTTCTGGTAGTCATAGCGAGCAGCCAAGTAAAACATCACCAATTACTAAATGTATTCATTTTATAAATAATCAAAAGTTTTTTATTTTCCAATATTCATTAAAATGCACTTTTCTCAGTTTTGACATGGCAGATTGTTAATTAAGTCTATAGACTGGCTGCAGTACAGGTGTTAAACCCCACCTCCTCCATGTTAGTGGATGGGACATGGACCAAACTAAAAGGTTCACGTCGAATAAACTTTTTTATTTCTGTCATTTTAGGTAGTGTGATAGGAACTACTGATGTTCAACCAAGTGGCGTTTTTTCCATTAAAATGTATGTGTAAATAATAATAATATAAATGTGAACAATTGATGCAATAAAATCAGGCAGGAATGTCACGACTGACAGCCGAGACTGACTCGCAATTGGTTGAGTGTGCGTAATGGGTGGGACCTCACTACCTCTGCCAATCGCGGCTGCACAGATTCCAAATGCAAGATGGTGGCGTTCATGTCTTGGATGTTTTTGGCTTCGTATCTGGACAGTGAGAATAATTTGAATATGAATCAATAGTGGAAATAATAATAGATATATTTATTTGTATAATGGTATGGATATATATGAAAGTCTGAAACAAATATAGTTTTTGAAAATATTGTGCTTACTAAAGTTTCAACTTTATTTTGAAAACTAAGGACACGCCTCCTGCACGTTTACGCGGCCTCTGAGTTTCGCGCACCAGGCGCTACGGAAGCCGCGAGCTCCCGGTTCCTCGGTTGTTCAGTCTACGACTTTCCGGTTCCTCTTCGCCTGGTTCCTCTCCCGGGCCGAGCAGACAGAGAAGCCCAGGCCCAGAGCCCACTCAGGGGGGTGGGAGAAGCTGGACCAAAGTGACGGTAGATAGTTGTTTTCACTCCGGTTCGGGTCTGTGAAACCTCGGCGTCAAATCTGGAGTTCTGAGAAGCAGCGGAAGAGACGCGGAGGAGTTTTGACCGGGGAGCGGTTGATACTTCGCGGTTGAGAGGAACCGGTGAGTTGAGCTTCCCCCACTGATTTCACTCAGTCTGATCTGAACCAACATTGTGCTTCATCTACTTACTTCTGACTTTATCCAGACTGGGAGGGGTTCACTCCGCCAATCACGTAACAAAGACACTTTTCCTGTTTCCAAAAACAAAGAGACATCCACAGATCCTGGTGTTTGCGGCTTCTGCTGCTTTTTCGTTTAGAAGAATGGATGTGTTCATCGTTAATAACACGTGATGCACGAACTTAACATGTGTGATGACATACAGCAGAGGCTGGTCTGCACCATTTCAATCGACGGGCCTTTAAATGTCTGGTTCAACACAAACAGCAGCATACACTGTGTTTCTAACATGCAGTGAGGAATGATGGGTATTTTTCCAGCTCTCACTTATAATGTTACTTCACTTTTGAGGTTTATTATTCACAGAAACACCATGTTTCTGTGAAACAAGTACTTTTGACACTTAACCGCAGTATAGTTTTGTACTTTTACTCACTGTAGGATTTTGATTTAAAGATCCAGTGTGTCAGATTTAGGTGAAAGGGAACTATTGGCAGAAATTTAATGTAGTTTAATTTAATGATGTTTTCAGTAGTTTGTTTCATCTCATTTTCATCTCTAAATTGTGGTTTTCTTTACCCCAGAAAAGACCCTTTATATTTAAATGCTTTATCTTTACATCGAGGGGACCCTCTCTACGGAGGCCGCCATGTTTTTTACATGAGTCCAGACTGAACAAACTAAACACCTTTTGAGTTTTTATGACAATTAAAGGCTACCTCGGGTTCTTTTTCATGTTTGGAAGGAGAGGGTGAGGTGAGGGGTGTTCAGCTCCAACATGCAATTTCAACACTAGATATCACAAAATTCTACACACTGTTCCTTTAAAGACTTCCACATGTAATAGTACTTAGATGTTGTTATAACCACGTCAGACTAAGAGCAGCAGTGATCTGGCTCAATGCTGAAGTACTGAGAAGAAATCAGACATGTCCTGTTAAACCAAAAGCTTAGTTTAAAAGTTAAAGAAAGTAAAAGATTAATTGGTTGATTCAAAATGAGAGCCATTCACAGACATATCAATGTATCTGCGTTTATGTTTCCCGGTATGAAAACTTAGATATTACACAATGAAAAATAAAAATCTGAATTTTGTGTTTTCTATGTAAAGTTTATCGTAAAACTGTTAAATATCAGTCCTCGATCACAGTCCTTTGTCATAAGGGTCCACAATGACACCTTGGTAATCAAGCCAATTTTTTTTAAATATCTATGTTGGCTGATATCTGTATGAGTCAGGGTCTTGTGAAAATACTGACTTATTCCTGGAAATGCAAAGAAAGTTTCAAATATCTCCAGTAATTAACAATTGAATTGGTGCAAAACAATGATTGTTTTGCTTGATCCAGATTTTCAAAAGTGGAGATTTGCTTTTTTTTGTCAGATGTGTGATATTAAACTATTTTGGGATTTCTGTAAATTTTAGTCAAAACCAGATATTTGAATATGTGACCTTTGGTTCTAGAAAACTGGAACAGTGACTACATTTATACGGACGAAAAAGACAATCAAGCAGATGGTAACTGCCGTATGTCGATGTCACAAATAGCTGTGAAAACTCCAATAGGACGTTATTAGGACGTTTCTATGTCTACATAAGTAGAGTAAGGTCGGAACACTACACATATCTTAATTATTATTTTGAGTTTGATCTGATTTGGCTGTTAACACGGCAGACTCTTTTTTAATATTAGAATATTGGTGTCCATATAAATGTGTCTAGCAGTGTGCGTTTCAATGGGAGAGTTAGGACTCTGTAGCTCTGTATCTCTAAATGTGATTTCTCAGTCCAGACTGTTAATCCCGCAGAGACACTGAACCAGACATTCAAATTGCTTCTTAGACTCTGAAACTGAAACAGACTGGTGCTTTGAGTCTCCTTCTGTACCTGGGCCAAACCGTGGAGTGAAGAGGCGACAGTTTCCTGGGACGTTGGGTTTGCCAGGTTGGAGATTTTGATCCGTGGTGATGTTGACACAGGGCTGAGGCAGCTGTTTGAATAACAGGATAAGGTGTTCAGTGTGGGTGTGCAGCTGGGCAGTGTGTTTACGCTTCATTCACTGCCTGACCCGTAATCAGTGAAGTGACTTCACAGGCTACTGAGCTCAGACTGTGTGTGTCTGTGTGCACATATATGGTGCACGTGTGTGTTTTTGTCTGATTGTATGAACCTTGTGCTTCTATCACTGAATGAAAATGAGGTGGAAGTGGTTAGCGTGTGTTTTTGTCTGTGCAGGCTTTATCACTCCTTCCAGGAAGTCCTACACAGAATTTCCTTTTATAGAAGCCAAATACAAAGGGCTTGCTGTCCACTTCCTGTAAACAGCTTGGCCGCTGTGTTTGCAGTGTTCTGGTTGGTAGAACCCCCCCCCGCTCTTTTGGATCGCGGGGAGTTCCAGGATGAGGAAGTGTTCCTTCCCCAGTGGTGCATGGCCAAACTCAGGGAATAGAAAGTTCTCTGACACAACGAGAAAGCGAGAGAACGAGGAACCGAAACTATGAAGGGAAGGGAGATGTGACAGGCTCTGAGGCAAGGCCATGATGAAAAAGCATGGATGTCGTTTGGATGTGAAACTGTATGATTGGTAACCAAGGAAGCAGAGACATACATGTGAAGGTGCAGCCTTCAATTAACATATACTCAGTCCAATCTATCATTTGACAAACTGCTGTCTGGCTGATTTACTACTTGTCTTTATAACTGAGAATTCAGTATCTTCTGGTTCTGAGCTTCACTCCCTCCCGCTATCCAGAGATGAAGCCAAAGTATCCCGGACACAAAATGCTGTCATCTTGCACATTTACAGGGGGGGCGGAGCTGTGTTAGCAACGTCTCACGCTCAAAGACTCGGAGCAGGGGGTGGAAATGCTGGCCTAGCTCTGCTCAACATGTCACTGGGTTTATGTTGCTGTCGAGCAACTTAATCCAATAATGGTGTCAGTAGTATGAGGGCGTGGACCGTTACACAAACACAAGCCTGCAGTGCTGATGTTTGCACCTGTCTGCCTCCCTCAAAAGATTCCGCCGCAGCACTCAGAAAACTTAGCTCAGAGCTACACGAGAGGAGTTCAAGTGTTCACAATGCAGCGCCTGTTGGGAGGGGGAGTGTGAGTTTAAGAGCAGGGCGTGTTGTGTGTGTGTGTGTGTGTGTGTCAGTGAGATGAACAGGAGAACACGCCTGCTGCAGCCCTGCAGCTATGGAATTCCTACGCAGAGACAACTTGTCTCAGCCTGGCGAGCCATCTCCCCCCACACACACACGAGAGAGAGAAAGGGAGAGAGACTTTGAAAATGCACATTAAGGCTGGACTGGGTCTAATTTTATCCAGCCAGGGCAAGAACACACTTGTCCCATCCAAGCTCACTGAGGAATGAGGCAGCCTGCTGCGACCTGCCCTGAGAATGGTGAAAAGACAGAGTGAGAGAAAGAGACGGGGGAGGATACAGTGAGAGCTAAGTAGATAAATGAGCTGTTAAGAAGCTGCACACACTTGCTGGGAACACGGCAGTTGTTTTTATCGTTTACCTGGTCTTCTGTGAGACGCAGAAAGAGGCGACAAACAGGTGAGTACGTGGCAGCTCAGATATGAGGCAAAGGAAATGAAAAGACATTTGGAGGCACAAAGAAAGCTCAGCTAGTGTCTCACGTTCTGTAGGTGGACGAGCTCCCAGGGTTGTGTTTTTATAACGATATGATTCTTGCCACGTTGGAAAGTTGGAAGTTTATGGGCAGTATGCGTGAACTTAAGTGTGTAAACCTGATACATGTAAGCACATAGCTGTCAGGTGAGTGAAAATGATTGCACAATGGTAACTGGGATAGTTTTGATCCCAGTGGAAGAACACAGGGAATGTGTCAGATATAATGCAGCAGGGTGGGGAACAGTGTGAGTCAAGTCAGTGCTTGTGTGTCTGTAGCTTGTGGCAAAGGGGCTCGGTTATTGAACATAGGTAAAGAATCTCTGTCACACATCTTCACACCTGAAGTCGTCTCAGTGGAGCTGCTGCAGGAGGAGGGTTTGTGTGCAAAGATTTGGTCTCAGCCAGACCCGAGCCATGTTTTCATGTTCGGGTTCAAACATGAGCAGTGTCATCGGTGGTCAGACACAGGAAGTGAGGAAACCTTTGTTTGCTTCCTGTTTCCTGTCTGTGATGTCAGCAAGAATGTAGGTCGTGGGCTCAGAGTGAATTGAACTGCGTCCGCTGCAACATATGAAGGTTGACGAGTTTGTGTGTCTGTGTGAAGATGATCGTTTACAATCACAATATGTGGATCAAACTTGAGTGTGAAGGAAATGCATCCTGAACATGTGTAAAAATAACAACAGTTAAAGTGTAAGTGCTTCATACAAAATCCTTTACATGTAAAAGTAGAATCCTATTGTCATAGTAGGAAAGTTCAAGTGTCGTTCATGTTTTTTATTCTTTTCTCCTCTTTTTTGACACTGAAGGCTCAATAACAGAAACACATCTCTGCATAACACTTTTTCTCAAAAAAAATTCAGTAGAAACCTTCGCCAAGGCCCAGCAGTCCCCTTAGGAAACCACATTTCAATTCACTCTATCCGCATATTTGGATAGGATCTCTCCAAGCAACTCACTCGTTGCCACTTTTCTCAGTCTCTCTCTCTCTCTCTCTCTCGCTCTCTCTCTCTCTCTCTCTCTCTCTCTCTCTCTCTCCTTCCTCATTCATTTGAAAATGGGAACGAGACTCAACACATCACTTTTGCCCAGTCAGAGCTGCTTCCTGCTCACACTCTTTGTTCCCCACGCTGCAACACTGATCTGCACATATAGACCTGGATGGATTGGTTGGGTCGGTGTGAGTCAGTCTTTAATTTGTTGTCAGTTGTTTCTTTGTTTGTGTTACTGGAGGCTCAACTTTACTTGATGTACAGTTGTCCCTCACAATCAATCAATCAAATTGTATTTGTATAGCCCATATTCACAAATCACAATTTGTCTCATAGGGCTTTAACAGAGTGTGACATCATCTGCCCTTAACCCTCAACAAGAGTTAAAAAAACAACCAAAATTATTAGAGAGTATAAGTTATTGAGCGTTCCACAACAGACATGCTCTGTGTCTTGAATGCATTCGAATTTCTGCATCCAATCCCAACTCGGCAGGTGTACGTGTGTGTAAATGTGTGACAGCGGAGTGTGTGAGGACAAGCCCCCCGCCCCCCCTGTCAGGATGAGCAGCCAAGGAGGAGGAGCCAAGGACCCCCAGTCAGCCAATCACAGCTCTCGGCCGTTGCCGTCTGTGCCGGAGGAGAGGAAGTCCAGAAACAAGATCATCTCCATGTTTGCCTCAGAGAAAGGTCAGGGATTGGGAGAATACACACACACACACACACACACACACACACACACACACACACACACACACACACACACACACACACACACACAGAGACAGTAAAAAGACTACATTTGTGGCAGTGGATGACCAACACATTGACCTTTGTCTGCAGGAGGCAGGAAGAAGGACAAGGACAAGGACAGACCTGAGATTTCCTCCCCATCGGACTTTGAACACACCATCCATGTGGGTTTTGATGCCGTCACTGGAGAGTTCACTGTAAGTATAGTCACATGACACTTTGTTGCACCAGTAAGAAGTAGTTTGTGTACCATGGTTTTTAGATGACCTCCCAGATTAGAGAGCAACCAGCTATATGATGAAACTCTTTAGCAACTCTTTGCTTTTGTTTTATGGATAATTCCTTTTATATAACAATTTCCATTTGTGTGTGTGTTTGTACAGGGCATGCCAGAGCAGTGGGCCCGTCTCCTTCAGACCTCAAATATCAGTAAATCTGAACAGAAACAAAATCCTCAGGCTGTCCTCGACATCCTCAAGTTCTACGACTCCACCAGTGGAAAACAAAAATACCTCAGTTTTTCCGCCTCGGGTCAGTTCTCTTTTTGGTCAGCTGGGAAATGACATTCCAGAGTAGTTACTGTGCAGGCTATCATCTCTGTCCTGACACTGTCTGTTGTTTTATTTTGTCTCTTTCAGATAAAGACTCACAGTCGGTGAGTACCTCCGTTTGTTGCTTCTGCTCTTCATCCATTACATCACATTGAATGCATTCAGTCAATTTCATTCTCTCTTTCTCTGCATGTGTTTGCTGTTGCAGCCGGGCAAGCAGGGTACTGTGACCTCCCCGACCAAGGGCGGCGACGATGATGACGACGACGATACACCACCTCCAGTTGTGGCCCCACGACCAGAACACACAAAATCAGTGAGTCGAGACGAAAGATGTGACTGGAGTAGCACTGGAGAAGACATTGTTATTTTATATATGTTGTGCAAACTTGTCTGGAAGGTGCTGTTTGTTTGGCCCTTAGTGATGCAGGTTGCAGCTTTCTTTCTGAAACTGCAGTAACTCAGTCTGCTGAACCTTGAGGCTGCACTACAGTTAAAACATTATAAAAATTATAATTCGACAATTGGTGAAGCTCGATTCAGTACGTAGAAGCCCCAACTACAGTTGTCGTACTTGAGCCAGTTGTCTGAAACACACTGTTGTTATAATGCGTTGATGATTCCCAGCCACTGCGCTGGTCGCCTGTTTATTCAAAGTGTATTAATACTGAACATATCAAAAGCCCAAATTACTTGGGCCTTTGATAATACACATGCCAAGTGTGATGCATTTCACATATGGTCAGATTTCTGGAATTAGTAGATATTCCAGAAATATATAGAAATATAAAACCACCCAGTCATATTTTATTTCAGGCATTTATTTTATAACCCAGAGTGAATTTTAGCTTATTACTGTAATCACATTCAGCCACACACAAAATATGGGAGAGGTCATCAAAGGTCAGCGTTCCTGAAATTTCTCTTGCTGTGCTGTCAGGTGTACACAAAGTCGGTGATAGATCCACTTCCTGCTCCAGAGGGTGATGCCTCTAAGGCCGCTGACAGACAGAAAAAGAAGGGAGGCAAAATGACTGATGAGGAGATCATGGAGAAACTAAGTATGAATTCCAGGAAGAGCCACGTTTATTTCAGGCTCCAGTAGAGCTGACTCAACAGTTTTTATTTTTGGGAATCTTAGGAACCATTGTCAGCATCGGAGATCCTAAGAAGAAATACACTCGCTATGAGAAGATCGGCCAGGGGTGAGTCACAGATGTGTAGGATGGAGGATGAAAGGAAAATGTAGGAAAGACACTTTATTTCACCTCTGACTGTTTTTCGAATTTCAGGGCGTCTGGAACAGTTTACACGGCCATCGATGTTGCCACGGGACAAGAGGTAAGGTCACTTCATCCACTTCATTCACAGATTTTGCACGCGGCTTAATTCACACTTTTCTAAATGAAATGAACCACACACAGTTGAACTGCTTGCTGCCATGTTCAGTATGAGATACTGGATGTAATCGCTGTAGGTGAAGAGCAGAGCCAATTATACTCCTGTGAGACCAGCATTTCATGGTCAGACTACAGCCTGACAGTTGTCTGGGAGCATTTCTGACATTTTCTTTAAACCTACACACTAAAAATCCTTGGACCAAGCAAAAATGTTTCCAGGAAAAGATGAAGACCTCAGACCCAATGTTCAACTCTTATCAGAGCAAATACATCTCCATGAAAAACATTTCAAAGAATCTATTTATCAATGTTCTGTCCCAGCTAATTATATATCTCCTGAATTTGGCAGTCCTGTAATCTACTAACAGTCTATACTAACAGTCTATACTAACAGTATATACTGACAGTATAAGCAAGTAGCATTGCAAATAATTGAATTACCTGGATGTATGCTGTGTTTCACAGGTGGCCATCAAACAGATCAACTTGCAGAAGCAGCCGAAGAAAGAGCTAATTATCAACGAGATCCTGGTCATGAAGGAGATGAAGAACCCCAACATTGTCAATTTTGTAGATAGGTAACCCTGACCCCACACGTGTTGTACAGACAAACAGTGCAGATGTACGATACCGTACGTGTACCGAGTGTGAGTCTGATTGAGTTTGTGTGCATTTTCAGTTTCCTGGTGGGGGACGAGCTTTTCGTGGTGATGGAGTACCTGGCTGGTGGCTCGCTAACCGATGTTGTGACGGAGACGTGCATGGACGAGGCTCAGATTGCCGCTGTCTGCAGAGAGGTACGATTCTTCTGAGACCCCTGAGCTTTCACAAGATATCAGTGAAAATCTGTCAAAGCACATAAATCAAGAAATCCACCGACAGAGTCATCTGAGACGAGGACTAGGAAGGAATAGGAAATGCCGGCCTCCACTCTAGCCTTACTTTTGTCAGGGAACAGGATACTATGGCTGCTAGGCATGTGATATGCAGATGTGTGATTTATATGCTGGACTACTGACGAGTTTTAACATTTAAAAAAAAACAACCTTTAAAACACGAAAACAATGAAAAAGCATCATGTTTTCTTTAAATTATTATTTTTTTTACCATTTATTTACCAAAAGTCAAATTATTAAAAGTCATATTAAAACATTTCTGTCATGCTTCTATAACAGTGCATTAAATTTAAAGATTATTCACCTCCCTCTCTCTCTCAGGTCATTCAGGCTCTTGAGTTTCTTCACGCCAACCAGGTCATCCACAGAGACATCAAGAGTGACAACGTTCTGCTGGGGATGGACGGATCAGTCAAACTCAGTGAGAGAGAGAGAGAGAGAGAGAGCGCACACATGCAAACATGCACAGACCCACAGACACATATCTGACTGAATATCACACTGTTTTCATTTTACATGTGGTTTGGACTCAACCCATTTTCCCCTTTCCTCTCTTTGCAGCTGACTTCGGCTTCTGTGCCCAGATCACTCCAGAGCAGAGCAAACGCAGCACCATGGTGGGGACTCCATACTGGATGGCGCCAGAGGTGGTGACCAGGAAAGCCTACGGACCTAAAGTGGACATCTGGTCTTTGGGGATTATGGCCATAGAGATGGTGGAGGGAGAGCCGCCGTATCTCAATGAGAACCCTCTCAGAGTAAGTGTGGAAAGAGAGGACAGGTTGAGAATTCATTCAGTTCAATTTATAGTTTATAGTTTCAGAGAATACCTTCAAAGATTTATACTTATTTCATAACTGAAACCAGTAATTTTAGTAAAATATTCATATGTGCATGTTAGAAGTTGAATCCCAGTGAATCTGAGGATCCCCTGACCTTTCCTCTAGCACCACCATGAGGTCAAATATTAGATTCTTCAATTTATGATGATCAACTGCAAAACTAATGAGATTCCCTTCGGCCCTTAGTCTTGTCTCATGTTTTTATCACTGTTTCTATGTCACATTTTACAACTGTGATCACCAGGTATCACATTTGATCTTTAGTATTAGATCATTCTAGAAATGTCTATTCATGTAGTAAATGCTAAATATATAATGACTACAAAGATTAGTACCGTGAGGAATCTCAATGGTTGCTTCATGATTGTATTCTGTCTTAGGCGTTGTATTTAATCGCCACCAATGGGACCCCCGAGCTGCAGAGTCCAGAGAAGCTGTCTCCTGTCTTCAGGTCCTTCCTGTCGCGCTGTCTAGAGATGGACGTGGAGAAACGAGGCTCAGGCAGGGAACTGCTGCAGGTAGAACTGACAGACACCCTCATACTGCCTCAACTTATCAATACAGATCACTCAAAAGCATTTTGCACAACTAACTTTCACTGTTGATTAATCCGCTGGGTTTGATTTCTCCTCATTATTATCATTATAAAGCAACCGGTTGATCGTTTTTTCACATAAATTATAAATTTAGGTATGTAGCTTGAGCCAGCAGCTGATAACAACCCCTGTTTCCAGTGGTTGTGCGAAGCCTAACTAGCTGTTGCTTTATATAACATAGCTAGCATCAGTCTTCTCATCTAACTTCTTTGTTTGCCTGTCTGTCCATAGCATCCATTCCTGAAGCTGGCTAAGCCTCTGTCCAGCCTCACCCCGCTCATCCTGGCAGCCAAGGAGGCCATGAGGAGCAACCGCTAAATCCCAGGCTCTAAAGACGATAACTAACACCAGTAACATCCAAACAAACCAGCCAGCATCCTCTACTGGTCTACGTATTATGATGATCGTCAGTAAAATCTCCACTCTTAGCAGTGGAAGCCATATTTATCTTACCGTTGTGCCTCGTTCCAAAGCTACACGCAGCCGTGCTGAATTCCATATTCGTTGCAGTCGTAGCTTCCAACACCCTTATCTCACTGAAAGTTAAACCATTCCTGTAAAGAGGTGGGACTCCAACGTTATAGTTTTAAGTCTGGTTTTATACATGAAACTTTTTAATGTTATTCAGTGGTAGATGGAAAATTTCCTTATAGCTTCAACCTTCTAACGGCAGTTTCGGCTGCTAGCAGGCACCAAAACATGCCTCTGCAATCAAACTCTCTGTGGGATCCTTTAGAAACTTCACAAACCGTCTGATGTTTATTCTTCAATGCAGTGTTTTGTCTTCATCTCTGCCTTTTGCAATAGATGCCTTAGTGTGTGTGTTGGTCTAAGTACCAGAACAATTATGTTTGAAATGATCTGTTGAACTGGAGGAAAACCTTTTTTTTTTGTACATTATAAATTGGTAGTTTCCTGAATTTTTAAATGTCTTTTAAAAAGTATGTATATCGTTGTTTTATATTTGTGACTAACACAACAGAAGATTTTTTTTTTTTTTATACCAATTCATTCTTACCTCCCTGAACGTTGTGCTTGTGCACTCCAAACCCTAAAACTGTATTGATAAGCCCTAAGAAATTGAGCCAGACCTGAGTCAATCAGTTTTAAATTTGATTAGTTTTAACGTGAGTTTGTTTTACACCTCGATTTACAGCAAGTTTAGACAATCGCTGAAAGAAAAATCACAAATGGACCTTAAATGTTTTGTTAGCGTAGCACAAGCTCTTTGTTGGGTTGGAAGTCCTCTTCCATGGAGCCTGCCATGTTTCTACAGTAGCCCAAAACACAGTAGATTATTTTTTATGCCACTGTAGTTTCTCATGCACACTCAGAACGAGCGAAGGTGAAAGGAGGAGTTGTTTGCAATCTGCCTTCTCACCACTAGATGCTAACACTGGGTGCATGCAACTATCAACATCACTATTATGTGGCTTTTGACTAGAACACATTCCATTTATACTGTATGTGTGATATGAATGATTGAAGAATTTAAAAAGAATGCATCAAGGCTCATCATGAAAACACAACTCTTCTACTGTCAAATAAAATCCATGCATGTAAATTATTAATAAAGGCGGACCTGAATAGACTTGTGTCTGGATTCCTGAATGGGGCTGCTGGACACGGGGTCTGGATCCTGGGTTATTACCTCTCAGGTTATTTTCTCTGTGTTTGTTTGTTTGCAGAAATTACTCAATCTAATTCCATGAATTCTTTTTTTTTTTTTTTTAGAGTAGTGGCTCATGACCCAAGAAAAGACCAGTTAAAGTTTGGTGGCCGTCCAGATCAGGGAGCAGATCAAGGAGTTGTCTCTCACTGCATGACCACATCTTTTTCAACATTTCCGTTGTTTTCTTTGAGAATAATTCATGGATCTTCGGGACTGTTATTTGATTGTGTAAAATCCTGTGAAGTTCCAAATAAATATCCAGATCTAGTGAATTTAAATGTGGTTTCGTAAGGGGACTGTTTGGTCTTGGTGGAGGTATGAGCTCTAGTGCCCTTCTAGTTTCTTGATGCAGTGTCAACCAGAGAACTACAGAGAAATGAAATGCACATGAAACGAGGATGAGAGAAGGTAAAGACAAAGAAACTTCAGAGACAGATGCAGGGGATCAGAGGTAGACTTTTTTGTCTTTTGACACAAGAGAGCAGCATTCATCTTCTCACTGGATTTAATGTGCTTGAGGAAAAGTACAGACACAAAACATTGAAGTTATAGCACCACATCAACTTTGCTGCTTCAGTAAAAGATCAGTAGGTACTTGCTTTTAACTATATTTAAAATATTAAAAGTACATGTAGAGTGTATCCGATTCTGTAATGCAAGGATCTATTACATGATTAATTGAATCTCCATCCATCCTACAATCCTGCTACAGGAGGTGGGATTTAATGTCACCTGCCTGCTCTGATTGGATCAATGGACCCATTCTCCTCTCGTTCATTGATTGCTTTTAAGATTATATTTTTAAAAAAACAATGTGAATGTGTCACACAATTCATTGCGAAAACGTGGTGGAATGGAAGGTACACATATTTGCTGAAATTCGTACACGGAGTAAAAGAACCTGAAAATGAATCTACTAATCTTAAGTACAAAGACAAAGTAAAGATACCTTTTCCTAACACTGCTTATTGCTAATATGGCATCACGTTCTCTGCCTTGTGTAAAATGATTGTATTATTTACATCACATTGATAATTACGATGTGACTGATGATGTCTGATGCCGTCAGTCCACAAACTGGGTGAGATACTGGTTTGATTCTGTAACAAATCAACAACCTCTAGAATCACTGATACAGAACTTTATGTTGGAATTATCCTTTATACCATTAACTTTTTATTAAACAGTTAAATATCAGTGGTTTTCTTTTGACAGGCGCTGGTCACCTGAACATGGTACAAAGCTCTACTTGCAGAAACTCCCACGTTCATCTCCATGTCTTCTCATCATTAGTTGACTATGATTCCAATCATGATACAAAATGATCAATAATATATATAATTTATTTCTATTTTCATTCTCCACAGAGAAGAGAATTGACTGAAGTCTTTACCTGTGCAGGAGCACAACCTGCAGAAAGTCCCATGTTAATCTCTAGTCAGGGGGAAGTGAAACTCAGATTTAATTTCAGTTCCCTCCTCACGGCTGCACTTGGTCGCACAGTGTTCCTCACTTAGAAAAAGAAAACGGCTGACTCATATCAGACAGAAATGCAAAATACATTTACAGTATATCTCCTCCATCAGCACACAATCTACGTTTTATGACAATTTAACATGCATGTCATTAGCTGATGAATGGGCCTGTATGGTTGTTTAGAGCAACAGCGGAACAAGCTGTGGTTTATATATCGCTGCCTTTCTGCTGCCATCTTTATATCATCGATGAAACGCCTGCAGTTTATCAAGATGTGAAAGAAAATACATAATAATAATCCATAGAGTTGGCATTGGGAGAACATGTGAGACATGTTTAAGTTTTCTGTGGACAGATTTGAAATGGTCGAATGATCCAGAGGGAGATGAACTCTGCTTTTTCTGTTTCACATCCGCAGGTGTGTGTTTGCATGACTTTTGTGCATCGCTGCTCCAGAGTTTAAGTTCTCCTGCCTTACACAGAGTCCGAGCAGTTTTCACACGCTCRCACAGAAAACTGCATCAGGATGATGTTGACAGTAACTCTGAGTGTCATG